ATATATAGTAGTCCCTCAATACTTCACAATTTGACTTTTGCAGACTCACACTTTCGCTGGTTTTCAAAGGAAGATAGCACATGACACAAGACTGGCTGATTGATGGAGTGAGCTGCTGAAGCGGCATGTACTTGTTTAAAATAATCATGTGCGACTCAAGCTGAGCCTTTAGTCCATCTCGGCGAACACTAAGCGGGCCACATCGCCAGGAAATGTCCTGGTGCTCCCGATGGCCAGCCTGCCCCTGCACATCAGTCTGTCTCATGTTTTTCGCTGTGTAATGAATTACGAGGGGGACCCAGAAATTCAACCACACACGCACACACACACACAATTAAACAAAAATGTTTATTTAAAGTTTTATCAGGAGGAGAAAGTCAGCTGTGACTCTGTAGAGCTCGATCACAGGTGGTGAAGCTGAAGCTACAATGATGTCAGAGGGAAAGGAGGTTTGGATGGATCACTCGCTATGTGAGCGTAACCTGGAAGGTCCAACAAACACTCTCAGAATGTGGAGCTTGGTTCTGGGAGCTCAACTCGTAGAGTCCAGAGTCTGAGTTTATGGTCAAAAATACAGGCGTGTCACGTTGGTCATTCACATAGAGGCAGAAAAAGGTGAACTTATCTGAGGGGGTTAGCTGGAATTGATGGTCTGAAGGCCAAGCAGACGTCCAGATCCAGATCTCCGATGGGCAGAAATATCCGACTTGGTCAAGGCAAAGGGCAAGGAACCCGTGGTCATGAAGTGGGTCAGGAATGAGAGCAGGAATAAGAATGCTGGATACTTCAGGCACGAGGCGATCAGATAATCTGGCAGGGAGGCAGAGACTGGGAATTGCTAAGAAGCGCAGTGCACAGGTGCAGCAGGAGGGAGACTGGGAGTGACACAGGTGATGAGCGTGAGTGTGGCAGAGAAGTGGGCGTGGCAGAGAGCAGAGATGATGACACGCTGTGCTCCTTTAGAGTGTTTAGAGTTTAGAACATTGTTATTAACATTGCAAGAGGGGAGGGTTTATAAAGCCTTTAAATATATATAAATACTAAATATAAAGTCTCTACTTCGTGGATTTTCACCTATCGCTGGGGTGTCTGGAACATAACCCCTGCGATAAGTGAGGGACTACTGTATATACACACAAACACACTATGGTTTTTTTATACACACTATGGTTTTTTTTAACTCCTTTGCTGTCAAACATTGTTGTTATTTTTACTTATTTAAAGCCCTCCATGACAAACAACGACATCATGCTTGTGAAGATCCATGCTCCGTGGGATACACTTTGCAAATACGCAGAGCAGATGAACATCCGAATGCCTTTCAGGTGACTATGGTTGGAAAAAAGATTCAGCTTTTACCTTTTAACCAAAGCAGCTGGCAACTTTGTTTTATATCTGCTTTTTCTTTTGCTGCTTTAGAAAAAAGTGCTACTTCACTGACTGGAAGAGCAGAACTCTGGGCAGGTAAGTGGATTTCATGTGTTTTGTTATGAATCCTGGATGTTTCAGTGTATCTGGGTCAGGTGATCAGCACCGTCGCAGGTTTTAGCTGCAGAAAAAGTCATAGATGTTTTTGAAATGAAGTGTTCTCTGTGAGGAACAGACACAAAGTTTGACTGCAGCTGTTACTGTCCTTTGTTAATAACACACTCACCAACAATGAATACAGAATTATTGAAGCAATATTTTAATAATGTGGGGTTCAAGAGCCTCGATAAAGTCTGGAGAAATGTCATCAATGGCAATTCAGCCTTCGTGCAGTCTACAGAGAGATAACAATATAAAATGAGAGGAATTTTTTTTTTTTTGAAAATGAAAACTCAATGTTTTCTAAATTTGCATTGTTCTTTTGAATAAAATAAATTAAGTTTTTATGGAAAATGACATCAGATTCCTTGTTACAGCGCCTCCCTTACTTTTGATTGTGCCTTTCAATACCATACTCTCCAGTGAAGATAAATGGAGCAGCACAGGCTCATTTGCATGCTATTTTTAGAAAGGTAGGCTTGTGCTTTGATGTGATGTTCAAACTTTGTGCAAAAATGCAAATTTCTCTTGTTTGACTGAAACATTCAGACAAAAAAACATACACTATTATTTTGTAAAGAGAACATAAAAAGCCATTCTATCTGGTAAGTGCATTAAATCAGGGCAGTTTCAATTGTTTTCTTTATTTTCTTATCAACCAATGGAAATATAAATTGCCTCAGAGTTGTGTTCACAAAGTGAAAACTCTTTAGCAAAAGAACATTTAGGAAACAAAGGTAAAAACTAGGAAGCTTGTGGTTTTCAACAAATTTCTCTTTAATAGTGTTACAATTCTGGTGATCCATGAAAAATGTCTCTTCTAAATTTTCTGAACACAGTGTTAGCTTTTCATCTTTATTACTTAAAAATATATTTTTATATATGATCTAAAATAATTAGAATAAACAACCCTGGACTTAAAGGAGGAGTTCAGATAATTTGAAGTAGTTTTTTAGAAAGGTCATGAACATTAAGTATCTTACTTTTTGTAGAAGCCCTTTGAACGAACTCCCAGTTTAATTTTAACCAGAATGACAACCTAAAGGCTAGTCTGAGCTGAGCAAAGACCTAAATAGATTGCTGCTATTCTAAAACAACCTCAGCCTCAAAGATTTCTTAGTGGTTCATGCATACATTAATTTATAAAACAATACTACTTCATTAATAACAAATGGCTGTGTATTGTGAAACTGACAGGAATATAAAACTTAATATAATTCCCTTAAACTTCTGTACAATCTTACTTCCTTTAAGGTAGTATGCCACTGGGTTGAAGTTTGAGTTGAAAACTCAAACTTTATTCACTATTTGAGAAAAAAAAAATTCTATTAGTTTCACTGATTTCTGAGTGGTTGTGACCGGTGAGCTGTGATTTTGAAAAACTGCAGCTTACTTTTTGTGCACAGCTTGCAAAACTGTACTCTAAGCCATGCACAATATTTCACTGCCCACCTCCTCCCACATAACACCTGCCTCCACCCACTTTGTTGCACCCACCTTCGCAGCTGCCCCCACATTATGCTTTAATTTACAGGACTGCAATTTGACATAAAGATAAGCGGTTTGACTTGGACATGTTTTCGATCAGAGAAAAGCAAAATACAGTTCTTTAAGTGACGAGACTGTGAACTTTTGTGATTCAAGGAAGGAAACTGAGAACCCCTGTGAACATTGCTGAAGACGTCCTTGTGAATGCTGTTCACCAACTCACTAGGACTGGCAGGACGGTGTGATACCCCTCTTACCACTTTGATCTTTGCCCCACTCCGATTAACTATTGTTAATCTGGTCTGAATCAAACTCGATTCCTCTAAACTGTGATCATTCAAAAATCTATTCATGACAGATAATACGTTAATTGTTCACGCTCTCTCCGAACTCCACTTCAAAAGATCTGAACTATCCCTTTAAAGAATACCCAGCTGCAACCTTCACAACCAAATGAAACGGGCCATAAAACCATGTTGAGTATGGTTAAATGCATCTTGAACCAGAGTAACGGGGACATGGTGGCACAGTTGGTAGAGCTGCTGCCTCTCAGCAAGAAGGTCGCCGGATCGAATCCCAGCTGGGGGCCTTTTTGGGTGGTTTGCATGTTCTCTCTGTGCTGCACGGGTTTTCTCCAGGTACTCCAGTTTCCTCCCACAGACCCAAAACATGCATGTTAGACTGATTGGTAACTCTAAATTGTCCCTAGGTGTGAGTGAGAGAGTGAATGGTTGTTTATCTCGTTTCTCTGTGTCCCTGTGATGGACTGGAGACCTGTCCAGGGTGTCCCCCGCCTCTTGTACAGTGATAGCTGGATATGGGCACCAGTGACACCCGTGACCCGAAAAGACGGATAAAGACGATGGATGGATGGATGGATGGATGGATGGATGGATGGATGGATGGATGGATGGATGGATGGATGGGA